CCTCAACTCACATTCCAGCTGCAGCCACAAGAACATGAATAAAGCTCCACTGGATTTCTTCAGCATTCTTCCCATTTAGGATCAACTGTGGACCTGCGATCTACAGCCAGGGGAGCTACTTCTACAATCAGTTGAACCTTCTTTTCTCTGACAAACATAGGGTTTCTCACATTGTCTACTCAGCCAATAAGAAAAAGGCCCTGCTTCTGTCTTAGCCATTCATGCAGAATCCACTGAAATGAGCCCTCACATAATCTGTATCAGCAGAGGTGCACTACCACCTTGTGGTCACATCCGTAACGACTGATCGCACTGGGTAAATGTTCTCTTACCCTGTGCTTCTCAGGGACTCAGACACATAAAGGCAGCAAGAGGTCAAACAAATTAGGTCTTAAATCAGAGGTTAAGTAAGAATGTTGAGATCAAGGTTTACATCTGTGCACACTACTGAGTCATTATTAGCATGTAGGAAAGAGGCAGATGCTGTCGGTAATTATTAAACGATAGCCTGGGTTTACATGTTTGAAATGAGTAGAGCACCATCATTCACTGTATTAAAAACAAAATATAAAACCTTCCTGTTCAGCTAAATCCACCATCTTCATCTCTGTCTGTTATGGGGGAAAACTCTTAAAAGCAACATATAAGTCAAAGTGTAGAAAAAGAGAGAGAAGATCATTCGGTATTTCCAGTGCCTGTTATCTCAGACTCTGCCCCTCTAAGCTGGCCTTGCCTGTGACCTCGCTTCTCCCAGAGAACTGGCAGCACCAACAGTCAAAATGAGGAATCTCCCCTCAGTTAAGATGACTGTTATAAAACATAAAAGATGAAATCTTAATGTTAAAGAAACGGGGATATCTTCCACAAGTTATGAACACTTCAGCCGTAGGAAATCATTTGACCCATTGATTGGATCTGACAGGCTTGAAGGCATCTATTCCAATGCTCTGTGCCTCACGTTGTTCAAAGTACTGAAACACTACAGCTTCTGAGAAAACATCAGGCAGCAGGTTCAGAAAATGTAACCACATGTCAGTTTATTCTAGAGGTGGTTTCTATTGCTCATATGAA